TCACGAACTGCTCTGACCTTTTCCTCTGTTGGTTCCAAGCCATGCTCACTTAAAATCAGTCCAATGAAAACAATTTGATTCATTCCAATCTTGCACTTGTCCTTGATAAGGGTTAGGTTTCTTTCCTGTAATCGATCTAGCAATGTCACAAGATTTCTACATACTCCTCAGTTGTCTGTCCGTATACAACAATGTCATCAGCTCTGTTGGACATTCAGCATTCCTCAATGATTTTCATCTCGATCTATTTGCCAATCAACTGTTCATATAATTATTAGGCGAATTCATGAAGGGAAATTTTTCTCGACTTTGTTGTATATATTACAGGTTCGCATCACTGTGAGTAATGTAAGTAAAAAAAATGATGGTAACTTCAAAGATCGCTTATGGACTGCACCGCCAAGTGCAAAAATGGTTGATGACCATTCAAAAACGAGCAGAAAAATTAAAACGCCCCCTCTCTTCTTTAACGACAGGTGATAGGTTAATAAGCTCGGAAATGGATTGGTCTTGAAATCGATTCACACCTTACCGATATAATGCCCTTTTAATTAGAAATTGGTGCTTGTGCTGCAATAAAGCGATTCCAGTACCTAAATGTTGTACAAACTTAATATATAGTAGAATATTCTCTTTTAAGGTCTCTGGTAACAACTTCAAGAAACTTCGTTGATTATAGAAAACATATTAGATACCTCGAAGAATTAACCGAAGAAAAAACAGTTAAAAGACTAGCGTAACATTTAAACCACGTGAAAACAAGTGCCAGCATAAATTACCAGAAGTTAAACTATCATGGGAAGAGAAATCTTCAACCCTCCCGCTGAGCGACGAGACATCTGTGAAAATGAGTTTTCTTGAAAGGCTTCCGGTCTCAATTTGCCTCGTCGACCTCGTTTTAAAACAGAAGCTTGGAACAATTAGAAAATAGCTAGCCTATTTCCAGTCTCGTTGTTGTAGTCCTCCATCATCATTTTCCGTTGAATTGATAGCATAGCAGCCTAAAATGAGGGTTAAATACCCACACGTTATTTAAGATCTATATTTGTTATTGGTCTCGATTGTTGTAAATTTTTAAGAAGTAGTCCATGATTAAAACAGCTAAAAAAGGGGTCGTTTCAAAGGCGTGTGGCAACCTACAATTATCCTTTAAAACCCTGGAAATTGCCTTTCCGGGGACTATTTATCCGAACCCCCTCCCCCCCCCCCCCCCCCCAAATCCCTGATCCACCCCCCCCTGGGAAGGAACCGCAAGGGGGGAAACAGACCCCCCCCCCCCCCAATTTCACCCCGCCCAGAGTGGGAAAACATCGGGTACACGCGGGGGAGGTTTTTGGGGAT